ATTCATTCATTCATTCATTCATTCATTCATTCATTCATTCATTCATTTATGGCAATTGGGGTTAAGTGTCTTGCCCAGAGTCATATAGCTAGTGAATGTTATGTGTCTGAGGCCGGATTTGAACTCAGGTCCTCCTGACTTCAGGGCCGATGCTCTATCCACTGCGCCACCTCACTGCCCCATAACATTTTTTTTAATTAAGAGAAAAGAAATCTCTTCCCTTCTTCTCATCTATTTTAATTTGGATTTACTCAGTTATACATTTTCATGAATGATAGTAGATAAAATGGTCCTTTTGCCTACTTATTTTTCTTTCAATTTAAAATGGAATAGTAGAACTTTAGAAATTAGAATACTATGTTAATTCTGTGTTGGTATTTTATACTACTCTACTTAATATTTTTTGGGTTGAAGGTTTCTTTTCAAGGCTTCATTATATATTTGGTGTTGTTGAAATGATAATTTAAATAGGTCAGATCAACTAATAGAGAATTGAAACTAGCATAATACTAGGTACCTGTGGCACTTATTAAGTAATATCTTGAAGAGAATGTTCATTCTCTGATGGCTAAACTGCTAATGCATGCTAAAACTTTTGTTGCATTTTGTGAAAAGAGTTTTTGAAGGCCTACTAAGATCTCCTAGTTTGTCATGTCAGTTTCATTTTATTCTTGCCCTAATCACTGCATAGATATTATTTAATCTATTGGCATCTCATTTAGTCATTAGATGCTACATTGTGTCCAGAGTTGCCAACTACTTAATTTTTTAAAAAAGAATAACAATAAAAAAGGAAAAGTATCTAAATTGACAGTGTTTGCATAATTTGGCTTTCTTTTTTTAATTTCATATATTTTTTCTCCGTTGTTAGTAAGTAATCCAGTTTGCCAGACTTTCCTACAAATGCAAATTCAATTTTTCTTACAATTTTTTTTAAATTAGTGTATACCTGACAAGTTTAGTTTAGACTGCTTATAATAATCTGTTTTCTGCTCTAATGGGTTTTCCTAACGTAAATAGCCAAGAATCCTTTAAGACCAACTATTTATAGCAATAGCCTTTTCCCCCTAAGGTTGTCCTTTTTTTTTTTTTAAAGTGTAGAAAAGGGAAAAACCTAGAATATAGTTGACATATATAGGCAATGGTGTGCTGGTAAATGTTCAACTACTGACTCTCAAAAAAACTCAAAAATCCACCCCCCAAACAAGCTTCTAAGTTTCATGTGTATTTATTAACATTTTCTCCATTACTTTCTAAGACTAAAGAAAATAACAAATTAAACCCAATTTTTAGCATTTGCCAATTTCTGAGGTGTAAAAGCTCACGTTGAAAACTTAACAGTTGGATACTCCAGAGCCAGCATGAACTGGCTTCGGCATCCTATATATAAGTAGAAAATAGTTTAAGGGCAAAAATATTCTTTTAAAAAGTCTCATTTCTTACGTGAGTTTCTTAACTTGATTCAACTGTTTTTGAATAAGAATTTTATAATTAAATGGGACCTGGAAAATCATCTAGCTCACCTTTTTTTTTTTTAAATGAGGAAAGTGAAGTTTACCTCAGAGGTTGACTCACTCAAAGTTATAAAGCTGTTTAGTATCATGGCCTGGGCTAGGACCAGGATGATCTGATCCTTCCACTTAATTGAGCTGCTTTTTGAAAGACAGTTTTTTAAAAATTCTTGTATCTGGCTGTCCTTTTTTCCCATTATTTAAGATTTTATTGATTATTTATGAATTGTAATGCAGACTCAATTCCTGTAGATAGATATTTATTGTATATAGCAATATAAATTATAGGATTTTCATAGCACTGAAAGAAGTTATTTGCCAAGATCTATAATGATTAAAAAATATTTAAGTGGAATGAGCCGTAATGTTTGCATTTGCCTTTTTACACTAAAACTATTATGATTTTATTCTTGAAGGAGAAGTTTTAGAAAAAGCTGTAACTTTTAAGGAATATTGAAGCCAAAAAAAATAATTTTAAACATTATTTAATGCTTTATGTAAATACCGTTTCTCCAGTCCTGTCTCTCTGATTGGTCTTGTAAATCATGCCTTTATACATTTTTGATGTTTAGTAAATGTTTGAATTTGTGGAATTGAATGCTGTTAATTTCCTCTTGGTCTTAGCTGTATCTTTGGTCATTATTTTCTTTTGAAAACTTTTAATTATAAATGTAAATTTAGATCTAGTTATTTTAATTTTTTATTGCTTTCAGTATTTAGGTTTATAGTTAATATGAAATCTGAATGTAAATACCTCATATTTTTGATGTCTTAAGATTGCTTTTGTAATTTTAGGAATTTCAGTGAAATGTTTACATTGAACTTGAACAATCTATGTCTGTGCCCTTTTCCTTTTTTTCTTGATGATTATTCTGATGTTTTTGTTTACTGGATTACCTGATGGTAGTAGAATGCTCTCTGGCATCTTTTTCAATCATGAATTCTTTATCACTTCTTATACTAAAATAAATCTTTACATCTTTGGATGTATGCAAGCTCATTTTAATCATATTCCTGGTTTGTCAATAGATATTATACTTTGAGGAATAAAAATTAGAACTCCTAAACTTTTATAGTGAGCTGAATATTGGCCTATCTATTTATAAATCTATAGGTTTTAGTTCAATAAAAAGAAGTCCCCTTTCAGATTTAAATTAGGCTTCCTTACTTTCAGAATTTTACTGTTAGTATAAAGATGCAATTATGAGTTTGTACTTATAAACTTTGAATGTCTTTCAAATACTGCTTTTATACAATAATTTTTAGTTAGTGTATTTTCTTCTAATATTTATTAAATAAACTAACTGGGATAGGAAATCTAGTTTTATCTGGGTGGGACTCTTCATTATTTTCTCATTAGGCCCAGTTAAAGTTCTTGTGTAGAGTCTTATAAACCTTAAGTCACAGGATTACACATTTTAGAGCTGGAAAGGACATAATAGAACTGAGGCACAGAGAGGTTAAATGATTTACCCACTGTCTTCTAAACCAGAATTTGAACCCAAATCTTTCTGATTCCGGGTCCAGTGCCCTTTCCTTTTCTATATAATTTATCTGTGCTAACAAATAAACATATTTTAGAAAAGGGATCAGAGATTTGGGGGCAGAAAGGGATGTTAGGGGTCATGTAACTCAACTCTCTTATTTTAGATATGAGGGAACCAAGCTCAGTAGAGGTTAGGTTACATTGGCAGGTCACACACTGATAGGTCAGTCAATAAATATTTATTAAGCACCTACTATGTGCCAGACACTTTGCTGATATGTGTTGGGAATACAAAGAGAATAAAAACATTCTCTGCTCTCAAGCGGCTCACAGTCTAAAGAAGGAAAAAAAAAACATGTCAACAACTACATACAGGAGTAAAATTCAAAATAATCAACAATGTCAGGGCTAGGATTCAAACCCGCATTCTCTGATTTCACGTCAAAATAATTCATTTTTCTCTGCACCTTGATACCTCCTTCCATACAGTTCTCTGCAAATGGGATATTAAAAAATCTATATATTCTGTGTAGTAGATTAAATAAATTATGCTAAGTTAATATGCATTGAAAGTATTGGAATAATATGGAATGCTCTGGGTTAACTAGAGACACTTTTTCAAAGAGGTGGCTTTTAGGTCAGATTCTAAAAATACAAAGCTTTTGTTCTGGTAGAGGAGACAGCTGGGTAATTTTAGGCATGGAGAATTTCAGTATCAAAATCCAACAAATGCTTATTAAGCTATTTGTGTTAATATTTGATTGAATGGTGTGTTACCGGTGATTCTAATCCTTTTTGGTTATCCTTCCTTGTCTTACAAAGTAGCAAGATTGCTTCTTTCTCTTGAAACACTCAGTTTTACTTTCTCTTATCTTTGTGTCCTTCCCCTAATAGCAAGAAGTAGCAACAAATGTGGTTACTTTAGTATTTTTGCTTCACAACCGTGATTATTTTTATGGTAGCTCAAATCTTTGTTAAATTTATTCTAATAAATGATAAGAAAGAACTCTCTAGTGGTTAACTTAACCTTTCACATTGAAATCTATTTTAATTATAATTAGAAATACATTTTGTTATTGAAATTTTAATTCTTTGAAATGTAGGATTTTTTTTTTCTTTCCAGACTCTTATTGTGGCATGGATCAGAGCAAATCTGTGTGTTTATATTTCTCGAGAACTTTGGGATGATTTTCTTAGTGTGCTGTCTTCACTTACTGACTGGGAGGAACTCATAAATGAATGGGCCAATATCATGGATTCATTAACAGCAGTATTGGCCAGAACAGTTTATGGAGTTGAAATGACAAATCTACCACTGGATAAATTGAGTGAGCAAAAAGAAAAGAAGCAAAGAGGCAAAGGTAAGTTTTCATTATTGTATGCTAATGTCGGATCTTAAATACTGTAGTTTCTAACATAAATATCATGCCAACAAGTGCCTACCTAATAATATTGGAATTTAATAAATTATCAACACCAGATATTAAAAAAAAAATCTGAATCACTCTGTTGTGTCCCAGATTACTCTGCTTTTGGGACTCTTATTTAGGTTGGATCTGGGTAAATAAGGAGAGCTTCCACATAGGCTTCTAGAACTGAGTTTAAAGGGAGGAGTTTGGAAGAAAGATATGTGAATGCTAGTATGACCATTTTTTTTTTCAACTCTTCAGATTAGTAGAGGGCAGAGCAGAAAGAGGTTAATGGTACTGGGTGTCAGTACTTACTATAAGTAATTTAATATCCTCTTTCTCATAGCATTGCTATAAACATTTAAGGGCTATAATTTTAAAATTTTAAAATTTTCTGTTGTATATCAATTTAACCTTCCTCAGGAATAGTATTTGAAAAATAGGTCATAAAATTTAATAATTTAAGATTGCTTAGGAATAGATTTTGAATATGTTATTGTGAGAGAAAATACTATAAAACCATCTTCAGTAGTGGAGATATTTATATTTTATTCATTACAATTTTTTATTTCATCATATAAGGCATAGTCATCCAGTTTGGGTGATATAAAAGTTTCTCCCCTCCATCCTCCAGTTTATTTGTGGGCTTTTCACATTTCAATGACTATATCCTACCTAGTATAACAGATGTTATAATGGGAATGAAAACTTAGAGTGGTTACTTAATTTACTACTTGGTAGTAATGTTAAAAGTTTACTTTTAGACTAGGATGGTGAAGCAGTTGGGTAAAAATAATTTTTCTATGTGTGTGTTTCAGTTATCCTTCTTTTATTCTATTTAATGAAGATTTCATTTTATTTATTAGGTTACAGAATATAGAAATGAATTTCTTCCGGTTTAGTCTGAAGGTCAAATGGATAGAGTACTGTTCTAGGCATTTGGAGACTGGATTACTATTTCTTGCTGCTACTGTTATTTTTAGCATCATCCTTGTTATATTTTTTTGCATTCAAGAAAGTTTGTTAAAATGGTATTGCTCCTTCATATTTGCAAAAAATACTCTAGAAGATATTAATTTTAGTTTAATACTGTATGGCTTCATTAGCATCAATGAGGAGCTTTGAGCTTATCTAAGGAAGTCAAGGAATTCTTAAAAAAAGGTGATAGATAATTTTCTAAAAAAAAAAAACCTTAAAACATGCATCTATAACTACAGTGCTATAAATAATTTTCTAAAATAAGGAAAATATTTAATTTGTTTTTGCTTTAGGTTGTATTTCAGATTCACAGAAAGCCACTGCAGTGGGAAGATCATTTTCTTTGAGTTGGAGAAGCCATCCTGATGTTACAGAACCAATGAGATTTAGGAGTGCTACTACATCTGGAGCTCCAGGCGTTGAAAAAGCAAGGAATATAGTCCGTCAAAAAGCAACTGGTAAAAATTCCTCAAATGTTACATTGTTTTATGAACTATCTGGTATTTTTAAATAATGAGTGAAAGATTGATGCAAAGTAGTTGTCTAATTTGGCCAGGTATTTTAAATAATGAGGATACTATAATCTTGACCATTGGCATATAATCTTAGATCAGTTTAATTATGTAAATTATTATAAGTAGCTACTTTTATGAAAATACTAATATATTTCAATGAAGCAAATTATTTTTTAGAAGTTATTTGTATTTAATTGGTAAAGAGGCTTGTATTTTCTTGCTTCACATACTCTTGAGCTTTCTGGGCATCTAAATATAGCTCCATAAATAATAGTAGACTTTCTTATGTTTAGGGACATTTGTATGTAATCATGTTTATACAATAAAACCTTTACTATGACAGTCCTTAATTAACTGAAATATTTTGTTGCATTTTCCTTTAATGCAAAAGAATCCACAAAAAAATAAGCTTACACTGGGGATCTAATGAAAACAAACAAACAAACAAACAAAAAACCAAACCAAATTCCAGTAACTTCCAGAGTAAGGTCTTTGACTTCAAATTCAGCCCACACATATATGCTTTATATATCAGATTTGTGACCCTCAGTTTCTATAACTTACCTAATTATCAAAGAACAGTTTAATTATACTGTTTATTCTGCAATTCTTAATAAAACATCAGCTTTGAAATTGAGCCATTTTAGAGAGATTTCCAAGAAGTGTTAACCAAAAGAAATCATGTTAAAGTAAATACTTCATTCTCAAAGCATTGTGATGAATTAGTTTCATTGGATACCAATTTTTGAAATTAATGCCACATTTTAAAACTAAAAATTTTTAGGAAATTGAACAATAAAATGTTCTTGTATGATTCAGTTATAAAATATGCTAAAAATTTGTTTGGATTTTTAAAAGCTACTACTAAATTAGACAACTCATTAGGATGCATCTTTGTCCTGTTCTGTGCCACCACTTGTATTATTCCTTCTCACCTCCCACCTTCTCAGAAGGCTGATAATTGCCTTAAGGAACATCACAATAGTCTGATAAGCCTTACAAAAAAGAGAAGGGTATCTTCTCTCCATAGAAGAGCTATCAGATTGTCCTTTCCTCTTAGCTTCACTTTGGAAAATTTGTTTCTCATTCACTGGGGAAGATAGGGCATAGAAAAATTGTAAGTAAAGGTACACAAATATCTTTCTCTTTGCTGCCCTATAGTATTCCTATTCTCAACTGTCCATGGTCTCTAGTACAAAGTGTAAAATGGCTTTAATGGTGACAGCTAGGTCACCTTTAAGGGTATGTTACTACTTAGCTATGATATAACAATGAGAAATGTTAGATTTTTTAAAAAGTGAATACTTAATATAACTATAGCTTTATATTTTTAGTAATATGGAATGTTCTGTAATGACTTATGCCACTAAAGTAATGTTAATAGATATTCTCAGAATTATTGAGATTCAAGGTACAACTTAAGAATTTTTAAATTAAAATAATAATAAAATATTTGCAAAGTATGCTAGTTTAAAAAGTCCATTATTTGTAGTGGTTAATAATTAAATTAGCAATTGATTTATAACTGAATTTACCCTCTATGTATTTTTCCTATTTAATGTATTTATTTCATACATTTGAAAATAACAAAAATAATTGTAATGAAACTAATGTTCACACTAGTATATTTTATTATTACCTTGCCATTAATAGGGAAAAGCCTAGAGAGCTAATCTATTCAAGGATTAGTCATTTTTATTAAGTTTTTATTAAAAAGTATAAATTCATTTTGTCCTTGGTAAGATAACATTTTGGATTTAGTGTTTGATTCGTGGAAGGGTAATGTTTTTCTGTAAAATACAATAGCATGCAATGGAGTTAATGCTGCATTTAGAAGTAATATTTAACCCATTTGGAAGTGCCATTTTTCTCTTTCTTTAAAAGAATCTCTTAAATTTCTTGTCTTTTAACTTGCATGATGTTTTACAGTTTGGTAGAAGAACTGCCAAAGAGGGAGGGGAGCAGCTACATAAGTGCAAAAAAGAGGAAGACAATGAAGTAATTCAAACACTTGACAGTTTAAGAGAACTGCTGAGGCTAGTTTTTAGGAATCGTAAGATTTTATCTGAAGCAATGAGTGATTGCAGAATTTTAAATATGCAAACTGATAATAGTTGTTTGGAAGTAAAAGGGAACTTCAATTAATTGTCAATAAAATAGCCTGAACTATTTTGTGGTTCAGTTTAAGGTTCATATTATTGATTGTTTATGTATAGAGATTCTTTTTAGAAGATCCTCATTTATTTACAGGACCAAATTAACCCCAAAACCGGAAAAACAAACCAAAAACTCCAACCTATACTGCTGTTGCATTAATTGTTGATTTGTAAAATTTTAGATGCCATATACTGAAAGCATACCTATTTGAAATAAGAAGTCATGTCTAATTTTCTAACTTAATTTTGCCACATACGGTACCTTTTAGTTGACAAATTAATTTATGAATATCTAATTATTCACAAATATTTTAATAGTTTCATGTGTAATTATGATGCTTAAAATATTGACTAGTGCATCCTTTCAATCTGATTACCATATTTGGTTATTAGATCTGCTGAGAACTTAATTCCTGTTGTTTATCATGTGTTAGAGTTGACTCCAGGCTCTGTGGAGGCTGTGCCAGCGTTACGAGCTCTAGCAGGTCTGCCAAACTGCTACGATTTCAGTGGACTGACCATACCTTTTATCTGTAGATGGGCCTGCTAAGTTGAGAGAGGACGATTAACAGAGGTTTGGCCATTAGGTAATGAGTTTTTGCAGCAATGGTAATTTACATAGGTAGGCCTCTAAACCATAGTGGAGTTACATACTGCATTGGTGAAGGAAATACTCAAACTGAAGAAATCAAATACCTTTTAAGTATTGAAGTGAGATTTGTAAGAAGGAAAGTGGACAAATATAAACAAGGTTGTTGTATTTTTTTTTTTTTAACACTTTAAAGGTTTCTTTTACAGGACAGATTGAAAATCAGTTTTAAATTCATATGGAGATAATTTAACATTAAAACAAAATATGTACAGGGATGTACTTTATGCCATAACTTAAACATTTGAGTAGGAAAAATATAAAAGCAAACATTCTGAGAAGAGGCCCATAGACTTCACCACATTGCCAAAGGTTAAGAAACCTAGGTTTAAGATGTTCTTTACCTGTATATTTGTCACTGTCTATTCATAGTTTCCTTTTAGAATGGAAATAAGGATAGAGAGCCAGACCTTTGATTTCCCTAAGAGGGAACTTTCAGATGAGGAAACTTCCTTTTTTTAATACAAGTTGACATTTTCTCTGTAATTTATATACTCAGGGAGTGGCCCAGAGCGCTGATTAGGGTCATGGAAGCCAGCACTTGAACTCAGATGTTCCTGGCTCCAAGGCAAGCCGTTTATTCAACACACCATACTGCATTTCAAGTTTTCTTTAGCAGTATGCAAATAATTATTAAGGTTGTATAAATAAGTAATTATTTAAATTACACCAATTTAAAGAAAATGAAACTGAAATGGGTGGTGGTTTTTCAGATGAAGAATTTTCTCTCACCTGAGAAATACTGCTATGTATATTTTGGATAATAGAGAATTTCATGGTCTAGATACCTAGAAATCATGTGATTTCCATGCAGCATGTATAAAATTACTGTATAAGATCAGTTAAATGAAGTATTTCACTATTATTCACATATATTAGAAGAAGAAAAAAATCTCATTTTTGGTTGCTGCATATTAGTATAGTTTGGGAACATTTAAACTTTTAAGTGAAAATCTATTTATGCATATAGTCATCTCTCATTTACTTACTTTGTGGATTATCTGTAACCCATTTTAAATCTCAGTCTGGATTTCCTTTGCCACTCAGGGTGTCTTCCTCCAACATTAATATATCTGTACTTATTATGTAATGCAAATTCATTTTAATATCAGCTTATGCAAAATGTAGTTACAAAGGTAAATCTGCTGCTGCAAAAACAAAATTAAAAAGCCCCAAATAAAAAACCTGAATGGTCTTTCATTCAACATAAGTGATTTTGGCATCTGTGCCACTTCTTGCTTTGTTACAAGGGGTGGTTGTGACTGGATTTAGAAATTTAAACAGATAAACTTTAGGTGTTTAGTATCTTTGCATTTGACTATTCCATTTTAATACATATTTAGTACATTTAATACATATTTAAAGAACACGGAAAGTTTTTGTAAATGATATTAATATTCTTCTGACATAATTATTACTTTATTATCTTTCCTGGAAGCTAAGCGAAGCCAGTCTATCAGCAACTGTGCCCACCTTTCTGAGGCTTTGCCAGCCACTAAAAGTGTACCTCTTCTGCTTCATACTGTGAGCTCTCTCTTACCTGGTATCTCTTACACTTCTTGCTCTCACAGGCTGTCAGGTACTGTACTTAAACCTCACTCATATCAACTTGCGATGTAGTTTTGTAATCTTCCCTTTCTAGTTTTTTATCACTTGTTTATATTTGAGTAGTCTGTCTCAATATGTTGTGCCCATAAATAAACATTTTATGCTGTTTTTGTAGTGTATTTGCAGAATTTTCTGTATAATCAATTTTCATTAGTTGTTAGATGGTTATTTTCCTTAGAGGTTTAATAGAAAAGGATATTGCTAGTTCTTTACAAAGTGATAGCTTATACTTTAGTGATTTTTGTAGTTTTGATTTTTAATTCATCAGAACAGTATTCACTGTCAGAAAGGGGAAAAAATTGCCACAATGCTGAATTGGAAGACTACAGTAGAGTCTTGCATATAATTTTATTTTGTTTTAGGTAATACAGTTTCATTAAAGGACAGAGAAGTTTTATTATTCTGGAGAACAAATTTTGAGTGAACAAATTGGAATGGTTATACTTGGCATTATAAAATAAAATGGGGATTGGTGGTAGGGTAATATATATATATATGTATATATATACATATATATATATCTACACACA